ACAGACACAGTGATGAATATGTGTTTGCAGTACACAAGCCTCGGTTAAGACAGCTGTCTCCCCTGTGATGTATCTCTCTCTCTCTCTCTCTCTCTCTCTCTCTCTCTCTCGCTCTCTCTCTCGCGCTCTCTCTCTCTCTCACTCTCTCTCGCGCTCTCTCTCTCTCTCACTCTCTGTCACACACACGCGCTTGCGCAAAACTCCGCATTTGAACAGTCAATAGCAAATACTTAAACTAATAACAAAACAGTAGCTGATTCAGAAGCGCCAGATTGTCATAGCAAAGTCAGAATTACCTCCTCTCCTAGGTTCATGAAACGGTCGTCCATAAAATGCATTGCTGTTCTGTTGTAAGTAATCTTAAAGATTCCTAAATGCATCTACTTTCGGAAGGCCAAATAAAGTGCTTTTGCTTTCGCCTAGAAACACACAGTGTCTCCCTGACATGGCTGCTTCAACACTAACTGTGGTTACTGAAACCACGCCTTCTTTCTTTGCATGAACATTTGGGCCGCATTATGCTAATATTTCCACATAGTGAGGTAGATATGTGGGGGCGTGTTAGAACAAGCCGTTTTAGGGGGGCGTGGCAGAGTCTTAACTTTGATAAAGAATATCTCTTTGGTTTTGAGACTTTAGTCTTTGCAACTTCAGGGATCTTATCTATGCACAATCAGCTTGTAACACTCCAAAGAGAAAGGAAAACTTGAAATCGCATCATATGACCCCTTTAAAATATTAAAATAGAAAACATTTGTTTTAAATTGTAATATTTCAAATGATTTCTTTTTTTACTATATTTTTGATCAAATAAATGCAGCATTGATGAGCATAAGAGCCTTCTTGATTCTAATATTGATATTAATACAGCTCATACATATTTAAAGTTAAGACATACTCAAGAGTATATATTATTTTGCACATAGATTTGTTAAAAACGTCTTTTATCCAAAATACTTTCAACTGTTTACATGAATAAAAATATGTGTGACTGGCACTAATGTTACAGCGCTCTCTCAAAAACCAATTAAATTGATTACACTAGGATGATTTATATTATTTAAAAAAAAATTATTCTACAATGGACTGTGTAGTCTTAAGTACTTCCAAAAATTGACATTCTGCGATTTCACAGTGTTAATGTTTTGGTCAGGAGCATAGGGGTAATTAGATCTCAAAACTGTAAATGTCTTGTGATCTTCTTCAATCTCACTTGATCTAGCAGAGCTGCTGACTGGAGCTGCTGTTCTGCACAGTAGGATTTTGCAAAGTATGAAAGTGATAGTGCTAGTAGGAAGAGGGGAGATCAAGAGAGAGGGGGTAGGATTAGGAAAGAGACTGCAGAGAACAGCAAGAACTCAAAACAGTGTTGCAGATAGATTGACTGACAGGTGGAACACATTGCACGCTTTACTGACGTACAAGAGGAAAGAGAGTGAGTGAAACGTCTTGGAAGGGGCAGCATACCTCACTGTTGTAGTACATGGCTATTTGGGATGGAAACAAGCAGAGGAATTTTGGAGGGAAAAAGGGAGAGCGAGGGAGAGAGAGAGAGAGCAGAGGAAGGTGGTAGGCATGAATGAGGGCCGTCAGACTAATTGAGGATCAAGAGAGAGAGAGCACCGATATAAAAATACTCAGTAGCAACTGGCACTCACACTTGCACCGTGACATCTGATTAACTGCTTGTCGATCTCAGTTGTATGTTGATAACGAGCAACAGACAGTTTGACTCAAATCTCAGTCCTGTGCAGATGGGAAAGAGACAGTGAGAGAGAAACTGACTGTTTCCAAGACGTCCTGAAAGACCTGCAGCGTTGGACAATGACTGTGAGTCAAAAATTGCTCTTATGGAAAATTCTCAATTTCATAACAACACACATCAACAAGTATACCTACTTGTTACTAGAAATTAATAAATAATAAAATAATATATATAAGAATAACATATATATGTAGGATTCAACAAATGAAATCATTCATTGATGATTTCGCTAATGGTGTGTGAATGGTAGTTTTACAGATGTAAATCATGACTAAATAACATTTCAGGTTTTATCCTGCTAAATCCATTAAAGCTGTGTTATACACCTGTGGTTAATATCAAGCGTTCCAGCCGTGCTCCACAGCACATACTGCACATATCCATTGCAGGTCACTAACCCTTCAAAATCAGTTTGAGATACATAAGTGATGTATCTTAAGGGTTGTCACTGCAATTAAATAAGGATGGTTGAGTTTAACAGTATGCATGTACAATACTGGTCAAAAGTTACTGATCAAGATTTTAATGTTTTGCTCACCAATGATGCATTTATTTGATAAAAAAAAATCAATAATGTTGTGGATTATTATTGCAATTTAAAAGAACTGGTTTTAAAATGCAATTTACACCTGTGATGGCAAAGCTGAATTTTCAGCAGTCATTACTCCAGTCTTTAGTGTCATGATCTTTTGAAAATACTCTAGTCTAATATGCTGATTTGGTGCTGAAGAAACATTTATTTTATTATCAATGTTGCAGACAGTTTTTGCTGCTTAGTATTTTTGTGGAAACTGTGATATACATTCAAAAGTCTTGGTTAAGTAAGATTTTTTTTTTTTTAAATAAGGACACATTAAATTTATCAAAAGTGACAGTAAAGACATTCAGAATGTTATTTAAGATTTCTGTTTCAAATCAATTCTGTTCTTTTGAAATTTCTATTAATCAAAGAATCCTAAGGAAACAGTAAAAAACTGTTATCAGCTTTGATAATAATAAGAACCAGTATTATTAATTGAGTATCAATAATAATTGATAAAAACGGAGCACCAAATCTGCTTATAAGAACAATATCTAAAGTATTATGTGAAACTGAAGTCTGGAGTAATGGATGCTGAAAATTCAGCTTTGAATCACAGGAATAAAATACATTTTAAATATTCAACTAGAAAACAGTTATTTTAAATTGTAATATTATTTCACAATATTGATGGTGAGCATAAGAGACTAAAAATCATAGATAGATAGATAGATAGATAGATAGATAGATAGATAGATAGATAGATAGATACAGACAGACAGACAGACAGAAAGACAGTTAGATAGATAGATAGATAGACAGACAGACAGACAGACAGACAGTTAGATAGATAGACAGACAGACAGACAGACAGACAGAAAGTTAGATAGACAGACAGACAGATATACAGAGAGACAGACATGTAGATAGATAGATAGACAGACAGACAGACAGACAGTCAGACAGACAGACAGACAGACAGATAGATAGCTAGATAGATAGACAGAGACAGACAGACAGATAAATAGATAGATAGATAGAGACGGACTGACGGACAGACAGACAGATACAGACGGACGGACGGACAGACAGACAGACAGACAGACAGATAGACAGACAGATAGATAGATAGATAGATAGATAGATAGATAAAGACGGACGGACGGACGGACGGACAGACAGAGACAGACAGGCAGACAGACAGACAGATACAGATGGACGGACGGACAGACAGACAGACAGACAGATAGATAGATACAGACAGACAGACAGACAGATAGATAGATAGATAGACAGATAGATAGATAGATGACAGCCCTTTGCACTATGTGCAAATATTGCAATATTTTTTGTCTGAATGGTTAATCAGTGCCAGATCATTGTGATATAAAACTTTAAATGAACCGTTAAGTGGAAAAAGAAATATGGTTTCAAAAACTGATTTACAAGGGATTGAATGGGTAACATCATAAAAAATGTTTGTAATGCAAAACACAGAAGACATTCTTAATTGTATGAAAATCAACATTAGTCTTACTGTACCTCACAGATATGAAGGTTACATGGAAAATGTAACAAGCTAGAGCCTGCACGTCCACTCCTGGCACATTATCAAAGACCACTGCCAGAGACGTCTATCAGTAAGATAAAGGCAGCTCTGGTGGTTCTGTTTTCAGTGCTTAGCAACACACTCATACAACCACTCCACTAGGCCTACATCACAGATTTATAAAGTTGTAACGGAATACCACACAATTACATGTTCTTTGATGGTTCTGGAAGCGCATGTTGCTGCTCCTCAGCTGCATGGTGTTCGTGAAGGTTACAGACACACATAGGACTGGTGTGACGCACACTTCTAGAAACTTTAATCAACACGTCCCTGATAAACGTATAGAATGTAATGTAAATGTGCGCTGCTTGCTTTGTGTTATGTAAAACACACTTGTAATATACACCCAAGCTATTTCAGGGCCATCAAGGTGTTAATGGGCTTATGTATTGTTTGACCATTCTCTGTCTGCCATGAAAGTGAAGGCTGGCGAAAGAACTGACAGATGGGAAGTTCAGCTATTATTATTACACGGCTCTCTGGAATACATGGATGTGATTTAATTGCAGGATTCTGGATTTTTGTCTAACTGACCATTGTCTCAAGCAACCAATTTATATTTTCTTTAATTTAATGCCCATTTATTTATTTGGCAAGCAACCATATAATAAGAAGGATAATGCACAGTCAGCCAATTATTATTACAAAGTATTGTATATACTATTTTGGTTATCTGTTGATATTAGAGATCAGAGTAGGTAGATATTGGGTATTTAATCGTGCTTGTTAATGTACACAATTTTTCCATTTAGAGTACCTATATTACATGTAATATTTAGCAAAACGTAAAATCAATATCCATTTTTTATACTGTATATTATAAAGTTGAGATGCTTTCATTCAACTATAGCATTTAAAATATGATTTGAATAATCAGGCATTTATCGGTTATAACCTTATTTTTAATAATTGTCAACTTTAATGTAATCTTAAAAAGATTACATAAAACAAAAGTGGAGGCTTCACACAGCATACTGATTGAAAACCATCATTTCATGATTAAAATGTTGCTGTTGCTTTGTTATCAGACTGCACCTAGAGAACTGGATGAGCTGTGCTACCTCACGGCTCAGTCCATGACATCACTGGTGACATCAGAGCACTTCAAACTCATCAAAAAGCTGGGAGAGGGCTCGTACGGCAAGGTGATGCTGGCGGTGCATCAGAAGAGAGGTCAGCTGTTCTGTGCTTACCTGTTTTGTTCATGTTGAACCTAGACTAATAGCACTGTGACAAACAAGACAGGGTGTACATTTGGTGAAAGCGAAGCACTTCTTACTTTAGCAATCTCTGAACTTTCAGGAACCCCAATGGCTCTGAAGTTCTTCCCCCGTCGCTCCACCACTCTCCAAGCTTTCCTGCGTGAATATAATCTCTCCGTCTCCTATTGCACGCACCCTTCTCTAACGCGGGCTCTAGGCATCTTCTACTCCACACCTTCTCACTATGTCTTTGCGCAGGAGGCTGGTCTCTATGGTGACCTGTATGATGTCATCGTGTCAGAGGTCAGTAGGCTTGATTGATTTTGACTTCACAAAAATGTCAAGTTGTTTAGAAGAGATTTAGATGTGACTCCTCCTCATTACAGGGCTTGGGACAATGGTCCTGGTTTTCCTTCTCTGACGAAATTATGATGATGCATGCATGAGTGGAGAATTTTTTTGTAGTGACAACTTTCCAGGGAACAACGTATCTTTGATTATTCAGGCACGTACATGTTGTCTGATATCCTCCTGTGTTCTCACTCTCCTGCCAAAAACAACTGCTCCTATCATCAGCCTTGATACATTAATGCTGTTTAATGGTAGTACTTAATGCACTGCTGAAGAGCAGATTAAATACAGAACACACAGACTTTCCGTCATCCCATCATATATATATATATATATATATATAATATTATAAAAATAGAAAGAGCGATGAGATGACGGAAAGTCTGTGTGTTCTGTATTTAATCTGCTCTTCAGCAGTGCATTAAGTACTACTACTGAACAGCATTAATGTATCAAGGCTGATGATAGGAGCAGTTGTTTTTGGCAGGAGAGTGAGAACACAGGAGGATATCAGACAACATGTATATAACAGCAATAGCAATGTTATTGGGAAAAAAGGAAAAATAAGGTCTCAAAAATGGAAATAAATAATAATAATAATAATAATAATAAACTGACATATACAAATATCAATAACAATGTTAATTAGAAATAATATTATGTATAATAATAATAATAATAATTATTATTATTATTATTATAAAATCGTTATATATATAAAAAAACAATCTCTCTCTTTTTCTGTATAGGAGGGGGTGAGTGAGGAGTGTTCCCAGCGTGTGATGTCTCAGTTGAGTGGTGCTGTGTCTCATCTCCATTCTCTTGGCTTTGTGCACCGTGACATCAAGCCAGAGAACATCTTCTTGTGTGACTGTGCTTGTCGCTGGGTCAAACTGGGTGACTTTGGCCTGGCTCGAGCACAGAGGACCAAGGTCCGTGCTGTGTGGTACAATTCCCCTTTCTGTGTGCCAGAGGTGGAGTGTGCCAAGAGAGTCAGTGATGCAGAGGAGGAAACGGAGGACATCTGGATGTCTGTGGAGCCCAGTTTGGATACTTGGGCTTTGGGGATCCTCATATACTGCCTCCTGACGAGCTGCTTCCCCTGGGAGGAGACCACTTCTGATGACCCTTCCTACTGCAAATACAGAGACTGGTTCAACCGAATCAAACAGAGAGAGGAGACACAAGACACTGTGAGAGAGGAGAACGAGGCTGAAACTGATGTGGCCCCGCAGTTTGACTCTTTAAGCTCATTCGTTCTCACCTTGCTGAGAAAGCTGCTGAATCCACTGCCCTGGCTTCGCCCCGGGCCTGATGAGATCCTGTCTTACCTCGGGGGACCTTGGTTACTGAAGACAGAGAAAGAGGAGTTGAGGAGAGAGCAGGAGGCACAAGTGGAGGCCAAGAAGATGCATGAGAGAGGAGGGGTGGAAGGGGAAAAAGAGATATTGGGAAGGAGGGAGAGATAAAGTTTGTGTACGACAGCAATATTATATACAGATGTACTTTATTTTCAAGATTTTATATAGTGTTTATATTTTGGAATATTCATGTTTTTTTTTTTTTTAAATATCAATAGAATAGATTTATTATAACACTGGAGAAATGGAGAAAATAACTGGATGTGTAAATAGACTACATACAATCAGATGTGAACTTTCCGCAGACACTTGAATAGTGGCCCCAAAAATTGTTTGGACAATTATAGAATTATGTCATTGCATAAGATAAGAAAGATACTAAACATATTTTTTAATTATAACTGAAAAAATTATTAATATATTATAATTATATATTTAAAAATTATATTTAGAATTATATAAAAACACTGGAAGTTTGGAAGAAGTCTCTTATGCTCACCAAAGGCTGCATTTATTCGATCAAAAACAGCAATATTGTTGCCTGAAACATTATTGCAATTTAAAATAACTGTTGTCTATTTTAATACATAAATTTCTATTTTAATACATAAATCTGAATTTTCAGCAGCCATTACTCCAGTATTCAGTGTCACATGATCCGTCAGAAGTCATTCTAATATGCTGATTTGCTGCTCAATAAACATTTCTTATGATAAATGTTGAAAACTGTTCTACTGCTTGTGGAAACAATTACATATTTTTCAGGACTCTGATTTATACATTTTTTTCTCAGGTGCAACTTATAAGTATTCACTCAACATGTATAGAGGCAAATAGGTACTGAGGAGATGTAGATTAATAATGCTCATCAGATGTGGGTGGAATACATAAACACTGTCTCTACCTCAAGCAGTTGTTTTGATGTACATAGCAACACATACCTGTTTATACATGTTTGAATAAACTTGTTTGTTTTGGTGACTCGTGTACTCTCTTCAGTCTGTTATATAATATGCACTCCTCAAGTTGCACTTATAAGTTGACACCCACATGTGTGCATGTCAGCATTTGTTGACTAACTATACCGACCTCATCATGCATTATAACACTTCAGATGATCCGACCAGAGCAGATACTTTAATTGACAGGCTGGTTGAAATACAGCTCTGCTCCACTCTAAATAGGACAAGAGCAGTGTGAAATGTTAAACAAACACAGGTACAATGGGACGGGTGTCAGGTTAGGGTTGTTCTGGGATTGACCGGATCAGTTCAGATATGTGTAGCCGACTCCAACTTTCCAGTTGTCCATACTGTCGCACCATCAAGACCACCCTGTCTTTTCTGTAACCAGTGTTGGGTAGATTACTTACGAATTGTAGTCTGTTACAAAATACATGTTGAAAATTGCAGTTAGTAATGTAATCTATATCACATTACACATTTTATGTGTAATCTGATTAGTTTTGGTTACCTTTAGATTACTTTTGACCTAGTTTATAACATTGATTTGAATTGGAAATCTTTTATTGATACGATATTGATATGTAGAAATATAAACAGACTGATAATGGATTCCATTCTTTGTTATTAACAAGAAGTGCATCAAACATTACATTATGTCAGGGCTTCTCAAACTGGGGTTTGTGAAGGAACTGCAGGAGCTTCGTAAGCTGATGAAAAGCTAATAATAAGATCAAAGAGGTTCATCTGACAAAAAAAGGGGAATCACTGCATTACATGTAAATACAAAATGAAATTAATTTGTCCATTTTTATGTTTTAAAAAGACCAAAGATATAGTAACATATGGTTAATTTCTGTGAAATTATGTGCAGTTCCAAAAAACTGGAAGACTTTCCAAAGTTTTTTGTTCTATCAGCTCTGGCCTTCACTATGGGGCCTATGTGAGCCCTTCTGCAGATGGTTTTATAAATAGCCCCAGGTCCATCTATTTAGACTGCTGAACACATCAGCACCTTTCTGTGTCCCCTCTTTGCACCCTGTATCTCTCTCCCTGTACATGTTCTATGCCATCTTGTCTTTCCCTCACACCACCTCTTCATCTCTCTGATGAAACATTGTGATCTGTCCTTCTCTGGTTTGGTACAGGGCATTGATTTCACATATGGGTCAAAGTCAACAGGTCAAATTATGTGTTCCCTCACAGATGCATTAATGCAGTATACTTTCTCCTCTATAGTTGATGGTATTGAGGTATTCTTATAGTAGATGACAAGGTTGAAAGAATATTGTGTGTTTCGTCAATCAGCGTCACTTTATGCCATCAGCTTCCCAACACAGTTCAGAGATACACAACCTCAATAGTGTTGCATTTGCATCAATGTTCTGAGCTGCAAAGGAGCTTCATGGTGACAAGGCCAATAAAACAGACAAGGCTTTGGACAAAGAGACCAAACATTATTCTCTTTTAACAAGAGTGGACAATTTTTCATGATACAAGCAATAGAAACCACTGGCGATACAACAAAGTTGAGCAAAGCTCAATTTTATGCAAATGAGCAACAATTAGTCGGCAACCAATATGAGTGCAGATGTGCAACCAAAGTTATTCCTGTTTCTTTGTGTACACTTCCTAGCTGGGAAAAAAAGCTTAGGCCAAAACTAAAACTATTACAAGTCATATTTGTTTATTGAAATAAAGCTGAAATAAAATAAAATATTAGATGAAAAACTTAAAAAAACGTTAAAATTGCAAATGTTGAAAATATATTTACTTAAAATATGTTTAAGTTGAAGTACTCAAATGACTTAAACTAAATAGAAATAAACTCAATCAAAGCAAAATAGAAATATAAAAAATAATAATACAATATACCACCTCATTTTAAATTCAGTTTAATGCAATGTAAAATGCATTCAGTTCTTAATTTAATTCTTAATCTAAGATTTGTATTTTTTTGTCTTTTTGAAAAATAAACCATTACCTGGGCACCACCTACAAACACAAGACTTGTTTAAACAACACTTAGGGCTCAGTTTGATATTGCATGTAAATACAATATTAATCTTTTATTAGTTTTATTACTAGTTTCATTCATTTTGCAGCTAGTAAAACTGAATCGCAGACATAAGACAAATGCGCACAATGTCATAAACAGAGATTTGGTGGACAGTACATTCCAGTGGACAGGGATAGACTCCGCAGGGGACAGCTGGATGGAAGGACACAACAACTGATGAGTGGTGGGAGACACATAGAGCGCAATGGATCATGAAAATGACAGGAGAAGAGCTGGACTGTAAGCGCAGAGCCAAGGACAGCAATGCGTTCAGCAGAACCTGCTACAAACCTCAGCAGAATGCAGGGATAATGATTACATTGCACAAACATATCGATATACAGACTGGCTAATCTTGATCAATAGCAGTCAACATATGAAACTGATCACTTGCATTTACAGCAGCAAAGAGCGATTAATTTGAGCAAAATCAGCAGATTCACAGTCCAATGAAAACAGATCCAAATAAAGCCAAGCCAAGGCAGAATGAACCATTGACGATCCATGAGCAACACCACAATGGTGTTTCCTTCCTGAATGAATCAGTGATTTTGAACAAATCGGCTGAGTAAATGATTCATTGACTCACTCAGAATACTCAAAAGGGCTTTTCACATTTCGCTTAACCCCGGGTTATCATTGATCTAAACCCGCTTTTAACACCCGGTAAAGATATGTTTTACAGGTATGTAATCACCATTTTTTTTACACGGGGTTATGAAACCCTGCTCCCGAGCAGAGTTAGCACTGCTTTTGCACATTGAGGCGCCAAACTTGTATGGTATGAAATGATACGGTGTTAAAATGTTACGATTACCCAATCACACGCCTCATATTCATGTGCTTTGGACAGTTTCGGAAAAACAGCATGCTGTATAAACAGTCGTTTCAGCATTTCATGGGGGAAAAAAATGTCAAATGGTGACGAAACAAAGAGACTGCCCACCAAAAGGTCCATCAAAGAAAAACAGTCTGTAATATATAATACTAGGATGTGCAATGCTAGGGTCATTATGTAAAGAGGTTGCATGCTGCCTTCGTTCAATCAATGATACGTCACACTGCAAATATGCAAATGAGACTGTTAACCCGAGGTTTATGAATCTACAGTGTGAAACGTAATTTTATAAATACCCGGGATTAACTGTTAACCCCAGGAAAATTATGAGCAGTGGTTTAGAATGACCCAGGTTTAACAATTTAAAACCCTGAAAAGACTTGTTTCCACCTACTGGCATACAAAGGACAGGAAATAACCGTATAAAAATGATATTTACATTTTAAAAACAATATATATTTGTTAGCATGGAATACAGTCTTAGTTATCATCTCAGGGGGAAAAAAACAATTACTTTGCACGTTTAATGCAATTTTGTACAATGCAAATTTGTATATGTAGAAGTAATAGAATGGCACTATGCTAGTATGAACATAGCCCATGATTTGCTACTTTAAATAGCTATTTACAATTAGCATTGGAGGGTCACTCTATAGTCCTGGGTTTGTAAAGACTTGTTATATACTCACAACTACTGTAATATCACAGATCTGGGATGCCTAAGCAGATTGCCTCTTACTACTATAAACTGTCATTCAATCCAGTTTATAGATGTCAGTGTAAGAGATACTGTGAGACAGAACCAATTGTAGTATCCAAAAAAGCAAATACAGGGGAGATACATTCCTCCAATAAACAGGTTAGGATATTACACTGTGTTTACGATCTGGCGTGCTTATCTATTTGTGGTCAACTCAAGTACCCACCGTGTTTCCCTCATGCCGCCCCACATGAAGCACATAGAATTCCACCGTTTGGTTGTCAGGTCACTATGTACATGGGTTTGGACTAGCTCAGCTTTGGCTCTCTCCTGCCATGCCTCCATATGTCAAAATGTCATCAGCTCCTCTGGTGCCCAGTTTGTCGACCTAGTTAAACTATCGTCCCATAGCACAGTATGAATATTGGAAAATCATGCAGCCGTGTTGTGTCAACTGCATGATGACTGTCTGACTGGGTCTAAAGGAGGCACCAGATAAGCTAAAGGTCAGTACTGCACTGTGGCATTGCGGGTTTTCCCCAATTAAAATGGCTTCTGATCCCTGTGGAGGTGGTGGGCCAAGGGTTCAGTATTTGTTTATTTTCAGCAGTGGTAACCTTCCTTATATTTACATGCCAGCCCTAAAACAGAATGTCTAATATGGTCTAATATGCTCTCTGTAAAGATTAACCCCATGACATGAATCTGGCATGACTTTAGGAGCACTACACTCTCTAACAATAGTGAAACTACATTAGGAATTTGTAAATTACTTTAAACTGGCTAACTTGACAGACTGTGAAAATTAATTGCTAATAAGAAAAAAATAATTTTGTAGAAACTTACCAAAAAAAAAAAAAGTGGCGTTTATTCACTGGTGTGCACGAGTGTCAACTGGTCTATTTTTACCTTGTATAAATATGTTAAGATCATTGTAGCTGTAATATTATCAGTTGCTGTACGCATGTCACCACTTTGATTCCAAAATATGTCATTTACATTATTTGTGCAGAGTTTCTGGTGGTGGGTGGTTGGGGGCATCCATCCAAAATTGTATAAAGGATTCATTTGTCAACAAACAACCAAATCAAGATCAATTTATATGAGAAGCAAAACTGACAGTAATTTAAATAATATTAAAAAGATTAAGATTGTTTTCAGAAAACCTTAAATTTATAAAATCCCATTTTACTCCAACAATCTAATACATTTTAGTGTGATTTATGCTTAAAACAACAAAACAAAATGCTGGTGACGTTAAAAAAAAAATCAAGATATTCAATAATTCAAGAAAAGTCTTATTATTTTATGTAATTTCATGCTTTTCAAGAAAATAATCTAATTAAGGATGTTTAGCTATTGTTACTGGAAAGCAAGACAAAACTACAGATTAAGAACAAGAAATACCAAATTAAAATGCATGATAATTATTATAACTGTAAAGTTATTAAAATGAAATTTGTATTATTAATAATAATAATAATAATCTTATGTTATAATAATATTTTAATTATTTGTATATTTAATTATATTTTAATTATTCACATTATAATTAACTTTATGTAAGTTTTATTCCCTAGATCACAAACAGAGATATGAAAATGTCAAATCTGCTCTCTCTTTTGATACAATGAAAATGCATGTTGATTGTTGGTTGTTCAGAACAGCCAATCAGTGCTCTGTGCTGACCCCTGCTGCCAGATGATATTTACAAACAGCAGTGAATTTAGAAATTAAAATAGCAAATTTCTCTTTTACTAGGAGTTCCTCACAAAAAAATGACATTGTTGAAAAAAATAACTCTAATTCATTCATATCCGTATTCAAAACACAAAGACCTATGAACGACCTAATAATGCAAGGCTGCCTAACAAGGCCCAAGGCACAATTATAAGCCCCATAACATTCTCAGTTGTGTCCTCTCCTGACCTAATGCAATGAAAAGAATCAATTAAAAACCGTTTTATCATATAGTATAAAACCTACAGCAAAACTCGACCCTATTTACAAAGTCTATACACATAAATCCAAAATTTGGATAAAAATGGAAAGAGCGAATGTCTAATAGAGAGAGAGGGAGAGAGAGAGAGAGACAGGCGGAGGGATGATGAGGGGAGGGAAGAGAAAGGGAGGGGGAAAGTAAAAGTCCAAAGGATTCTGAAAAACACAAGGAGCAGCAGAGGATTGGAAATTTGTAAGTATTCTAAAAACTAATTCTTTTGAGAATATTACATCATTACAATCATCATATAACACATCATCTAGACATTGCTTTTAACACTCACATAGTAAATACAGCAGAGAATGTGGGTAGTGAATATGTAGGTATCTCTTAATGAGATAAATATGTAAAAAATGGCATTCCTCTTGAAACAACATGCAGCGGTATAAGAAATGCACACTTATGAAAAAGAATGCAGAATGTGAGGGTATGCTGTGTGTTGATGCATATGTGCACTATACAGTTGAGTTGTCAGGTTGAATATGTAATGGATCCCGCAGGCAAAACTAGGGAATGCATAGGGGTACATAGGTGTTTATGTGATGAGAATTTATTAATCTGTGTGTATATGTAAGCATATGTGTGTGTGAGGTTGTTGAGTCCACAGAGAGGGGTGGGAATGCACATTCTTTAGTGTGAGCTCATGTCTTGGACACCGAGAAATACAGGCTTAGAGGAAAAGACTTGGGGAGAGAGAAGGAAACAGACAAAGTGGGAAGGATGGAACAGCTGTAACTCATATCTTTAATGAGCGATTGAGAACAGAGAACTCATGTTCTGTGACATCAATAAATGAGAATCTGCATGAGTCACAGGCTAATGGAAATCTAAACCGGTTTCATCCATCTGCAGTTCTGTTTTCTCATGCACTGTGTTTTAGAATTCATTTGTTTTGTCCAAGTCTTTTGAGGATGTCTATAAATGGATACATTTTGGAAATGGTGACTTCTGAAGTTTTAACAGCATGGCCTGTTAAGGAAATCTGCTCTGCCGGCAAACAGATACACTGTGACCAATCTGATAACTGACAGATTTCTCTAAACAAAATTGCATTTGCAATTGGTCCGAAAGGATGAATGACTCTAGTCAGTTTCGAATAAATGCTGTTCTTTTGAATTTCTTTCCATCAAAGAATTAAAAAAAATAAAAAAACAGGTTCCACAAAAATAGTAAGTAGCACAACTGTTAGCACTGATAATAATAAGAAATGTTTCTTGAGCATCAAATCATGTGATACTGATAACTGGAGTAATGACTGCTGAAAATCCAGCTTTGCCATCACAATAATAAATTCCATTTTAACATATATTAATATAGAAACCAGTTATTTTAAATTGTAATAATGTTTCACAAAATTATAGTGAAAAACGTTTACTGAAATTCATTTTTGATCAAGTAAATACAGCCTTAACTGTACATAACAGAATTCAAATATCTATATATATATATATATATATATATACAGTGGGTACGGAAAGTATTCAGACCCCATATATATATATCTTACTGACCACAAACTTTTGAATGGTACTCTATATCGACTTTATCTCACAATAACCTTTATTTTTTATGCTAAAGTGGAAACCAGCTTCCATTCCATCCACTGTAATTTTGAATACACTGAAAGTTATTTCAGGCTTGTTATGATAAAACATACTCATAACCTTTCTTGCTCTCTCCAGGCCCTGAGCTGTGATCAGCCCGCGTGAAGACCCCAAAAGATGGGCAGCTATCCAGTTTCTGTGCTCTTATGCTGTTTTTTCTTTGGTAATTCCATCAAAACAGAAGCCAATTAATTTAATTAATATGAATGAATGATTCTTTTTGAATGCCCAGCCAACAAAACTTTTCTGATATTTTTTCTCACAGTACTTGTTACTGTCCGGGCACAACAAACTGGTAATTCACTGTTTTGTTCACTAATTCAACTGTTTTGTTAAACGATTGTGTGAAAACTTGTGTTTGTATAGGGGAGACCAGGCCTAGTTGTCACATGGGGAAGTTGTCACAATAATTATATCTCAGTAACTGTAAAGGAGTCATATGGATATTTGAATGCCAGGGACGAGTTTTGATGTGTTTTATCTGTTGTAATTTTTTAAATAATATAATTTAGTAATCATTTTATAATTGGGTTATAAAATAGTCTATACTACTCTGTACATACACCAGAGAATAGTGTAGAATAGTGATTCTCAATCTCAACCCAACCAGTCCTGGAAAACCTAGATATATTAGTGTGATTTCTAGACACGGAAAAGTCATAGAAATTAATACAAAATGTGAAAAAAGGAAAAATGTATAATGAATATAAATGTCTAGTTATGTCATAAATATTTAATTGGGTAGAAATTGCTATTTGTAAGTCTAAAATAATTTAAAAGTCCTGTAAATTCAAAGATGAACAAACATCTCTCTTGTTTATAGAAAATGTACTTCATTACTCATTTTAATTACAAATGAAGAGTTCCAATGCAAAAGCCTTAAAATTAGATAACGATGCTGAGTGAATGCTCTCCACACATAGTAGGCTACATGTTCATCAATTCAGAAGTACCAGTACTTACATAGAAACCTATGCATAGTAGCCAGAAAAAATATATAATTTTAAAGATAAATGTCAGACGTACTTAGAGGCTTTTGCATCTGAACTCTTCAAAAAGTATTTCAAAAAAGGTATTCTTCTCATGACCTTGTTGGGACAACTTTTCCACTGTACGCCTGGTAAATGAAATGGAGCTTGATTGACCGAATGGAACAGACCACTAATCGCTATCCTATCAGCTGACACTCAGCTGATCAATACTCCACCTGCTTCAAATCAACAACCGCATTTAAGACCATTCAAACGCATACTCTTCAGTCTGTTAAACAGACATTTGCACCCACCTCCACCCCTTCACCTCCCAGCAACTCAACTTAACAGCCTGGATTCTGTAGAACTGTTCTCGTCACTCTCTTTATTTCGTAACTGTTGTATTTCTGCATATGTGTGTGGCTAAGAAATATTTGGTTATTGTCAGGCTGGGGGATTAATGGCTTAAGGATGTATCTTAAACTGTCTAGTATGGCAGCGAACCCCTTAAGCCTTAACGTTTTCGCCAAATTCATGAACTGCCAATAAATGTATTTTCAAAAGTGGTCCTGACTGAACTGTATCTTTTTGCCATAAGGGCAAATATGTTCAATAGCTTTATGTAGCCAAGACTTTAAGTTATGTGTCTCTACACAGACACTGACTTTCAAAAATAAACCCACCCTGAAAAAATATTCACTGGAGTAAAAAGCGTGACAACTGGCCCCAGTCTCCTCTACATGTTTGTAGTTTGCTGTGTTTTTCTTTTTCTTGCCAGAACTACGTGACACTGATGCCACTGCTTTGCCACCACCAGGTGAGTTTGTACATATGGAGTACAGTATTTGTATTAACAGTAAGACAATATCAGTCTTGTCTCTGTCCCACAGACTGCAGAGAGGAAACATACCCCTGCACCAGGATGTACTCTGTTCATCGACCGATAAAGAGATGCATTCATTCACTCTGTCTCTACAGGTGGCTAACACACACACACACATCCTTTTTAGGCTACTTTCTTTTTCTTGTTGACATCCTCCTCTGCTGAACAAGAGATTTGTATTTGATATGGTGCATGTGAAATAAATTACATCTGTTTTCTGCAGTCTTCCAAGAGTCTATGTGATCAACAAAGAAATCTGTGTAAGAACCGTGTGCCAGCAAGACGAGATCCTGATGGGTAAGTCCCTCAATATGTCAGTAACAAACTACAGAACATGTGAGAGTGGGGGTAGAAATTTATGTTTTTTTGAATGGGCCATATTGTTAGATATATAAATATTGTTATCATATATTATTTAGCATTTAGCATTTCTACCTTCCACCTTTGTTCTGACCGTTTTTGCTACAGAACATTTAGGCCTTCACTGCAAAGACCATTTTAATCACTCTTAATCAATATTTTAAACCTTAATATCAGTTAACTTATAGAGCTAACTTAATATTGAGTATCACAAAATATTCAATAGATTATTTTCAGACTATATATATTCAATATATAAAACTCTATCCTTCTCCATTTTTGAATACATCTAACACGTTTTAGTGAGATTAATGCTTGTAACAGGAAAAAAATTATTCAAGATAATAATTTGATAATTATCAATTCTATAATTAATAATAATATCTTCATAATTCAATACAAATCATAATATCTTACACTACTGTTTGCAGTCAGTACGATTTTTTAAATGTTTTTCAAAGAAGTCTTGTGCTCAGCAAGGCTCCATTTATTTGACCAAAGATAATTGAATACAAAACATATAACCTTAAGGTGGAGAGTACTTTCTCTCTCTTTCCTTTTTTCCCCAGCTGAACTCTGTAGAGAGAAATCGGGTTGGCCAAAACGCCAAAAGAGGACAACTATGAAACGCTGTCTCCGTGCCAACCCTAAAACCTGGGCAAACAGGGCCTAAAGTCAGATGGATGACAAAGGGCAGAGTTTTGGTTCCAACAAATACAACTGTAAATCTAAATGTTGAATCTAAAAATGTAAACTTGTTACATTCCTAAAACAAACCTAAGCTGTGGTCCAGTGACCTTCACAAACATTACTGTTCATAATCACTTTATGTAACTTATAATCATTTTAATGCTTGAACTTGAAACTGAAAAAAAGCTTGGTTGAATGTCTCAGTATTTTTAAAGACTGTATTTTAATAGGATCACAAAGGGCATGACAGTCCTCTGGTGCTGAATGTTAAAGTAGCCCACTGCATAACCACTATTTGCTTCATATTCTTCTATTATACTGTTTATGTCCACACTAACCACTGTTAGTAAAAGACGAAATGCACAACAGCAAATAAAAATGTTGATATTTTCACTCTCAAAGATCAGCCTTTCACAGAACTTATTAAAGCATTATGTGGTTATATTAAAATATGAACGACTAATTTACTTTGGACTATCATGTTTTATATGTTAGTTAGGATGTCATTTATGTGTTAGGATGTCCTGTTCTTACAGAAAACTACCAGAACAGATTCATACAAGAACAGATTTATATGCAGTAAAATATATGTAACAGTAGAGGGCGACAGACATGATAAAAAGTCAGCAGCATGCTGTGAACACAAGACCTGTCCGGAAAACACAACAGCTGTGATACAAGTGTCTCCTCTGAGTAATTCATTGTTTTGATAAGTGAAGATAAATAATAGAAATGATGTAATGAGTTGATTTAGGGCTTGTGTCTGGTGCCTGAGAGTGTTTACTGATCTTACTGCGGCCATGAATAACACATTTTTGAGACAATATGTCAGGAATATGGGGACATGGGGAAGTTGTGGCCTAATGGTTAGAGAGTCGAACTCATAACCCTAAGGTTGCGGGTTCGAGTCTTGTACCGGCAGGGATTGTAGGTGGGGGGAGTGAATGTACAGCGCTCTCTCCACCTTCAATACCACTTTGCCACATTGCCCTTGAGCAAGGCACTGAACCCCCAACTGCTCCCCGGGCGCCGCAGCATAACTGGCTGCCCACTGCTCCGGGCGTGTGTGTGTGTGTGTTCACTGCTGTGTGTGTGCACTTTGGATGGGTTAAAATGCAGAGCACTAATTCCAAGTATTCCACCATACTTGGCCACATGTCACGTCACTTTCACTTTTTTCACTTTCAATATGTTTACTGATATGTAAGCAGATGGAAGATACAAATAATGTTGTTAATTGTGTTTTTTTCACATAATTTCTTCTCCCCAGGTTTGAAAACAATACCATATCACTAGATATGTTTAAAAATGTGATTTGTACCTTTTTACACTAACCGTGTTTGAGTAGCTTCTCACATTATACATCAGATGACGTTTGCCATCCACAAGCATTTGACAAATTTGCTTTCACGAACCTGAGGGAGAAAGTGTGAGAAGAGAGAAAGGCTGATGATACACGGGGCAACTTTTTGAACAATGTTGCCGTCAATGGGCAACCAGGTTAGATACAGGGCCCACGACCTATCTAAAGTATCCAGACAGAAATTTGTTACCCATTCTCAATGGGAATGTGCCCAAGCAACATTGCTCAAAAAAAGTTGCCCGGCAAAATTGCTCAAAAAGTTGCCCCGTGTATCATCAGCCAAAGAGGCACATTTTGGCTTGATTGTGTTTGAAACATACAAAAAAGGTAAGAGTTCAGACAACTGTACGAATCATCCTTGAAGTTATTAGTTAGTCAAAGGACTCTGAAAAATCAGTTGCTTGAGAGCCGTTGGGATAGAACGAGAGAACGAACAGAGAAGGGGGACAAATGAAATATAATATCTGAGAGTCTGATTCAAAATGGTTTTAATTTCTTCTGGTGAAGAACTTTACATCTTTTGACTCACCGTTGACAACTTAGATCCAGAGCAGAGTCACGCATGGTTTCCACCACAACATGGGAAACAGATCCTGCTACTGGACACGAGTGGAACAGGGATACATTTCTGTGAAGGAACATTTGGTAGCTGAAATAAAGAAAAATAAAAGAGTATGCAGAAATTTGCCTAAGGAAAATAGATTGTTTTAAAGTTGCTCCTTAAATATCAAATTAAATAGGAGAGATATGTGGGGTAAGTCGTTAAGTTTGTACTTTTACCTGGATATGTTTATCTTCTGATATTTACTAGTGTTTTTTCGATCTTATTTTCTAAGGCAACATAGTGCAGCTACAAGATAATGTGCTTATACTCTAATAGGCATTGTATCTGCGAAAACACACACACACTTTACCTACACAAGCAGATGTTACAAAAGAACAGCATAGGGGTCACTGTGCACTCACTGTCCGGAAACAAGACATGATAATAAACTGGAGAAAGAGTAGGCAGATTTGCATAAACATTTTGCACTTCCTGAGTCCCCCACGCAGAACATACCAGCCTCAACAATACACATGATGTATATGCTGTGTAAACAACTGCTGTATGGAAGAATTTTACAACTACTACAGAGTTTACCCAATTTGGTCACATTATGTTAGGATGGGTCTTCACTCCTCTTTCTCCTGGCCAAGTACCTCTTGGTGGGTGTAGCCCTGTTACAAATGACTGAATTGTATTATATTAATGCATTTACATATATTTTATGATACTTACATAGCAAACACCTTAGTAATGTTATATACTTTTACATTACATTTTATTTTGCTTCATTTTAATATTGGTGGGACACTGGGCCTTTTTTGAAAGCAATCTCTTATGCTCAGAAAGTCTGCGTTTATTTAATTATTCCAGTACTCCAGTCTTCAGTGACATGATCCTTTAGAATCATTATAATATGCTGATTTGGTGTTCAAGAAATGATACAATGATACCATATTTTCCCCCAGAATTCTTTGATGAATAGAAAGTTCCCAAGAACAACATTTATTTAAAATAGAAATCTTTTGTAGCATTATAAATGTATTTACTGTCACTGTTGATCAATTTAATGCATCTTTACTGAATAAAAATATGAATTTCTTTCTTACTGAGTACTGACCCCAAACATTGAACACTAGTGTATATGTATTCCAGGGACAGTTGAACCTATGAATCATACTGGTTTAACACAAACAGAAAAACAGTTGTCAAATGTGTCAGTGTCAAATAACAGCTTTTATTTTGACATCCAACATAATCACATTAATGCTACATACAATACAGTACAAGATACGTATTAAGTCAGATTCAAGTCAAAGGATTCAAGTCTCAGGTCTACAGCACCATTTCTTTTCATCCCATTCATTTCATATCTCAGTGTTCATTGATTTGCGAATCTCATATTTGTGATCATAGCCCGAGGAGAGTGAAACCGTCCCTCAGATCCTCTGTCTCGCAGGGCTACAGTGAAAAAGAAGAAAAGTCATTTAGCTCTGGCAAATATGCTATAAACTTTGACCTCATCAAAATGTTTATATTTATATGGCATATGGATTACTGCCACAAATGCTACTGTTAAATATAGTGATTAAAAGAAAAGGACACTTCCTTAATGACCAAATTTGTCATTGCTATTGTTGAAAAATATTCAAATGGCCACATTGTGTCATCTATTATTAGTCCTATGGTTTAGTTAGTATTCATTATTTTCTTGCAATTTAATGCCACAGTAGTAAGGTCATATTAAAATGATTGTAAATTTGTAACCTGCAGGATCCGATTGAGTTTTCGAACGAGGCGGACAGAGTTTTGGTGAAGGTCATCCCAGGCTTTAAAGCTCCTCTTCCTTCGTGCAACAAATGTTTGCCAGCAGTAGAAATAGTCTAGAAACAAAAGAGAATCGAATAAACTACAAGTGTGACGTAATTTGCCACGTTATATCACAAATATTAACCACGCCCCCTCTGTTCCCTCCCCATTTACCTTTATAAGTCATCACAGAGATCTGCACTCCTGCCCTCTTCAGGTGTCGCAGTCCTTCTCTCTCCTGGCTGTTCTCTTCATCACAGAAGTAAAGGCGTGACACAAAGATTCTCAGACGGAGATTGGGTGTCTGCGACAGGAAGTGGGCAAGTTGTTGAGCGCATTTAGAGCAGGGCGACCAGGAGCAGAACCAGGTCACTGAGTAACACAATCTCGCACCGTCCACACTGGATCCCCACAGCCCCGGACACAACGCACCCAAGTGACGTAGGAAGAGTAGCTTGAGACAAAACAGGAGAAAAACAGTTACAGATGGAGAAAGAATGAGTAAGAGGAGTGAGTAAGTTTTTGTCTCTATAATAATACCTTTATGTTTCATCTTTTCACATTATCAGTTAATCATTCCCTCACCTCTACATGGCAGCCGGAGCGATTGCGCAGGTGTCCAAAGTCAAAAGAGAGGGAATCAGGGCCGGTGCGTCTCTTTACTACAAAACAAAGGTATGTCTCGTGTCTCCCTCGGGCCCAGCGCACATTTTTATAATGGAAGATAAATTTCCTCTGGGTCATGAGCACACTGTTTCAAAATATGACACACTGTTATTCATTTTATACATTTATCATTAATTTTTATTGTAAAAAGGGACCAAAATACTGTTTAAAAATAGTATTTTTGTTGAACATGAATGAAAACAACTTTTACACTTTTTTTTTCAAATTTTTTGTTTCTCTCAAATTAAACAAATTTGTAACTTTTAAATAAATTAAACCAAATTTGAATTCAAAATGTAATTTAATTTAAATACAAACTAAATATTTTTCAATCTTAACTTTTGAATAATTCAGAAACTCGCCTGTGTGTCTACAGCATTCTGTAATGATCACATTGTTCAGCACCACTAGGATGCCTGCAGTTGTCAGTGGTCGGTTGAGTTAAGACTTGAGTTAACTTCTTGACTATGTGCATTTAAATATAGACTCAGAGCCACGTGCATCAAATTATTCCCACTATCACTCACAGACTAATAACTATCAGTTTCAATTTGCAACTTCTGAAACTGGAGAAAATCTATAAACAGTTCAATGCACTTGCACGACATTAAAGTGCATAAACTGAATGACATCAAAGCATTGAATTATTCCTCAATTAATAAAGCTCTAATAAATATTATTATCAATTCTAATGGATATACAGTTGATTTTGCCTACACAGACTCAAAAAAATCCCCCTTGTCTCTCACTATCACTTGTTTTGTTTTCACTTACCTGTCCAACTTGCTGATCATTCCGAAAGTCGAAACTTGCTAACTCATTTAGTCAAGTGAAAGTCAGTGAGAGTTTAAAAATGGGTTGAGGAAGAGGGAGGTATAGAAAACCTATGACATGATCATATAGCTGTAAGAAAGAGGGTCCCTGATTGGGTGACAGTGGTTTTCAAACCTGTTTGGGAGGGCTGAGGTGCATTTAAACATCGACACAGCTCAATAACCTGTGCGTGTGATATTTAAAGAGATATGTAAAAGACTTACAGTCTTTGTTGCACAGACAAAAGACAGTGTAAACCAAACATTATAGATTGTGAATTGGATGGCATAATAGATAAATGGATGCAAGCATTTCTCAATTTTTTAAACTGTTTATTACTTTTCCAAGTTTATACAATAGCACTTGACCTTGTCCTAACCGCATATTAGTCTCTTGAGCGTTTGACGTGTTTTCTAACCTTCTTGCTTCAGAATGTGCGTCAGAAATTGCTGCCAACAACATAACCAAAGCCAGTTGGAAATTTCCAGATCTCCTGCACCCAGTCAGGGAAGCCTCCACTTCATTTTTCCCACACAAATCCAAAAAAACAACCCAAACACTCTCATATACCTTCTCTGTCTTGCTCAGATTTTCTCCATCCGCACCCTTTCCACTTGTGTAGTTTTTCCCACAGGGAATAAAAAGGGGGGGGGGGGGTTGTTTTACTACAGGTTACCACAACCCCTGGAGACACCTTCTCAGAGGGTTTTTCCAAAAACACTCTCACACACCAACGCACAGGTAGCAGAAAGGACCGGCGAATCTGCCTGGTTTAGGATCTACAGCACGCTTGTTAATTTGTTGCTGTCTGCAACTGTCTTTGGCTCTTTCCTGGTGACTTTAAAGTTGGCATCCTGTGTGTTTGTCTGTCTCCAGTCACTCGACTTCACCCTCTCATGCACTCTGCGGCCAGGGAAATCACCGCTCCCCAATGAGCTCCCTCTCAAGTGTATGTGTGTGTATGTCTGAATTCGAACATCTGGAAGAGATCTGTCTGCTCCCATGATTTACCTTCCGACCACAAGTCTTTCTGAGGTCTTACCACAATGCGCTATGTGTGTATAACATGGGAAAACAGAGAAAAGAATATACTGTAGGTCCTGCTCCCGTTAAAGCTGATTCTCATGATTTTTTTTACTGCAAATGATTTGTTTTGATGTGCGTTATCAAAAAAAGACTAGACTTTTGTTTAAGACAAATATAAATCTACTGATATGCACACATGATAGTACACTAGTGGCTGGTACAAAAACAGGTTTTTACATTCGAGTTGTGCATGACAAAGACTCGACACTGTCTGAGGAAAAAATGGGGTTACGGGTTCTTCTAGTAGTGGATTCATTTATATACCTCAATGTGAGTACACTGAAGAGGTCTGATAAAACGTAAAAAGTTTCAGGTAGAAATTCAAATCATCCTGAAACTGTATTTAAACCTAGACATGCACAATACTGGCTACAGGAAAGTAATAGCAAAACCAGCTAAATGAGTACAACAGGCCTACATATTTAGCACGTTTACTACTTTAAGTTGTTTAGTTAGTTCCGTAATCTCTTTAGCTTTAATAGGTAAAAGTCCCAGATTGCAGATATAAGTGTGCTTGATTGTATTGAATGTACACTTGTAATATACTTCAACTCTTAAAAAAGTATTTTATATATATGGACTAACCCAACTTTTGGGTTAAAAATGTAATGTTAAAATGTAACCCGATGGTTGGGTTAGTCCATATTTGACCCAAAGTTGGGTTGAAACAACCCAGCATTTTTTAGAGTGTATGAAAGCCAATGGGGTCCAATATTGTTTTGGACCCTACACTCTCAAAAATAGGGAGCAAAGAACTGTTTTTGATTCCCCCAAAGAACCTTGCAGTGACAATTTTCTTAGTGGGAAGAGCATTTTAAAAATCTAAAGAACCTTTTTCCACTATATAAAGACCCTTTTGTCCAATGAAAAGATTCAATGTTAAAGGATCTTCCTTAAATTATAGATGCCAATAAAGAACCTTTATTTTTAGGAGTGTATTGACTTTCATTGAACAGACAAAAACAGTTGAAACATTCTTCAAAACATCTTCTTTTGTGTTCCGCAGGAGAAAGAACATCATGATGGTGAGTAAATGGGGACAGAGTTTTTAACATTTGGTTCTCACAGGTGACCCAAAGCCCACTTTCTTGTTTTTTTGCTTATAATGAAGACCACCATATAGTGTCAAGGGGCACAACAAATGAATCGAATCATGGCCGGAAACGTCAAGGCAACGTCATATTTTCCGAAACGCACCCACCTACATGCGCAAACACACACACACACACAGAGAAGCCCATCGTGCAGACAAAATCAACCACAACTCCAAACACACTTACTTTCCAGTCATGAACGCACATCTGTTTCCTGGAGACAATAATAGTTACACATCGGTTAGAGGGATATAGTAGCAGGTGTTCAATTGCCTGAGCAGCTCTGTACATTATAACAAAAGCTCCTCCACAACAAACCCGCCACTATGACTTGCAAAGCTACCAAAAGGAAAGATGAAGTAATTGTGCTCATTAGTTGACTAACATAATTGCAGCCCATGAAAAGTTAGTGGCTGGTACAAAAACAGGTTTTTACATTCGAGTTGTGCATGACAAAGACTCGACACTGTCTGAGGAAAAAATGGGGTTACGGGTTCTTCTAGTAGTGGATTCATTTATATACCTCAATGTGAGTACACTGAAGAGGTCTGATAAAACGTAAAAAGTTTCAGGTAGAAATTCAAATCATCCTGAAACTGTATTTAAACCTAGACATGCACAATACTGGCTACAGGAAAGTAATACCAAAACCAGCTAAATGACTACAACAGGCCTACATATTTAGCACGTTTACTACTTTAAGTTGTTTAGTTAGTTCCGTAATCTCTTTAGCTTTAATAGGTAAAAGTCCCAGATTGCAGATATAAGTGTGCTTGATTGTATTGAATGTACACTTGTAATATACTTCAACTCTTAAAAAAGTATTTTATATATATAAAAAACTAAACTTAAAAGATAATATAAAATGAATGAAAAAAGGTCATTTAAATATAGATAGTACCCTTTCATGACCATGAACATAAATTTTACTTTAAAGTACATTTTAAATGATTGTTTTAATAATCTTTTGGCATTAAATAAGTGCACTTGTTTTGACATATTGTCTAATATACTAAAGCATATGTAAAGTACTTGATTGTAATTTTAACTGTAGTGATTACATTTAAAGTTTATTTATTTTAAACGTACTAAATTTCAATTTTAGTAAGTAATTATTAAATTACATGTAAAATGTACTAAAAATAGAGTTCATAATTCAAAATTGAGTTCAAAATAGAGTTAAAATTCTGTACTCACCCTCTACTTCCCAATCTGTATGATTTTTATTTCTTCTGTTGAAAACAAAAGCAGATATTTTGAAGAATGTTGGTAACCAAACAGTTGATGGTAGCCCTTGAGTTACTGGCTACCTTCAGCATTCTTCAAAATATCTTCCGTCCTGAACAGAAGAATCAATCTCATCCAAGATAGTAACAAGTGGGGGGTGAGTAAATGATGACAGAATTTTTGTTTTTAGGTGAACTAGCCCTACCCCTAACTTATGGGAGTCAAAAAGCCCTCAAACATTCAGCTGACTGCATTTAATATAAATTGAAACTATAATACATTTACATTTAGTTGCAATTAATATGTAGTCAAGTGTCTGAAAACATTGCATTCAGTTTGCACTTCAGTATATTCTATTGTTACCACAAGCATTCTTTTTAAAAGTATGCTTAAGTGTCCTTTTTCACAAGAGTGTGGTTTCTCAACAATTGTTAAATGTTTTGGGTAAGTTAGTAGTGAAAGCCTTAACAGTGACAGTGCAGCTTTCTGTTGCAGGTGAGCATCAACTCAACCACACAGTGAACTGTATAAACATCCGGTGGTGAATGACAGCCTTAGGTGCTGTTGGGTAGTAGTGTGAGTGGTTAAGGTATAGCTGGTGTTTTAAGCTAACCACACAGCATGAGCAGCTCTTAGTTTCAAATACACTCAGCTTCACTAAACTGTATCCACCCACACAAATTTAGAGCAGCATGCGGGAATTAACTGTACTTGCAATGCCTTTTGCAGCAAATGTAAAGCAAACAGGCTGAATATGAGAGATTGAACTCAATTTGCAATGAGTTTGAATCGTGTTGTTCCTAGGTTTGCTTCTGGTAAAATCTATCAGAGCATTTCAGTGAAGCAAAACCACAGATATATTGGTTCAGAAAGATCAGTGAAGCAGAAAAAGAGAGAACCATGCTTGGTAGAAACACATCAAAAGGTCCACACGGAGGACATATAAATTTCACTAGTACACTGCTTAATTAAGAGTTTTTAGCATAATTAAATGGCATGAGAAACCTGAGGGACAAAACTTTTATTTATACTTTAAAAAAGTTTATTCATCAGCAGTCAAGGGAAACATACAAAATGTATGTATACACTCATAAATACAACATAAATAATAAATAAGATAAACACATGTAAATCACTATCTTTGTCCATTTCTTTAAAAAAAAAATCCATGCTATAAACAATAAGTCAGATGACTGATTGTCCTTTCAGCCTTAGGCTTATCTAACAGCTTCATGGCTCAGGCTTTGAAACCCAGAGATGATTTCTATAATGTTCAAAAACATTAAAATGCTCTTACGCAACAATATAAGTGATTTTTATAAGATGAAATGTATAGTGGCAAAGCCAGAGCGGTTCCTGGTGTCGGTGGTTCACTGGGACAATGTGAAAAAGCACTAATCCTTTTAAGAATCTGAAATCTAAGCTTTTTTAAAGGAATATTCCAGATTTAAGACGAGTTAAGCTCAATCAACAGCACATAATGCTGATTACCACAAAAAACAAGGGACAAGTTGAAATGTCTTTAAAGCTGACATTACACGATCCATTTTCTAAATGCATGTTATGGATTTGATTGTGACGTAAAACTAACAAGTCCCCTAATTTTTTTAATTTTCGATCTGTTACACTCAGATGTACATTGTAATACAGAAGAAAAGATGTCGCTACTTCTGTTTCATGAAATCTGGGTTACAGTAAGGCACTTACAATGGAGCCAATGGTAAAATACTCAGTAAACACTAAAATACTCACCGTTTCAAAAGTATAGCCACAAGATGTAAACAATATGCATGTTACTTAATTTTACAACTTCACTGCCATGACAATGTAACTCCATAAACTATGAAATTATTATTTAAACAGAATTACAGCACAAATCATACACAAGTTTAAACAATTATTTCCTTTTTTTTTTAAATCTCAAATTATTATTTTTTATCACCATTAACATTACACCACGTTTATTGAGCTAAATGTGTATTGAACCCAGAATATTCCTTAAATTATGTGTTGCCTTCTCTAGCAAATAAAGCCTTTGGTTCTTGTTTCAATGTGTCTTATAGATCCTTAACAAACACTTTAGTTAAAGTGAAACCCAAACAACCCTTCTCTGGCTCTTCATAATCATCATCCTCTCCTTCAGTCCCTGCAGTCTCACCCTGCAGGCGATAACCCAGCCTCCTGAAGAAAGCTTCTCCCACTTTGGATGGAAATGGCACATGGGCATATACCCGCCGTATGCCGCTCTGCTTTGTTCTGGACTCCAGTCCCTGCACCAGCAGTCGGCCCAGTCCCTCTCTGCGGTACCAACTCTGAACCACCAGCCTGCAGATCCTGCATACACCGTCCCGACTCCAACCGTCTCTAGCCACGCATCCCATAATCTCCCCATCAGAGTCCGCCACCCACACCTCTCCAGCAACCGTCGCCCTCTCCTTCAGCTCATCCTCATCCACCTGTTCTCTCTCGTTCGTCTTGTCCTTCACTTTTTCTTTGGGTTTTTTACGCCGTCTGGTTTTCTCCAGTTTGGCTCTGCCAGTGTGAGGATTGGGTAGATCTGGCTTGGTGTCTGCATGGTAACAGCTGCCCATGTAGTCCCAGTATGGCCTGCTGGAGCCCAAGATGCCCACCGACCGCGGTATGGTGAGTTTGAGGTAGATGATGAAGATGAAGACGGGAGCGACCAAGGCCATGATAAAAGAGTTCAGCACACAGCGGAGGACGGAGGAGAGGATGGCCAGCATGAGAAGAGCGAGCGAACGAGTCAGAAGGTAAAGAATCAGGCGGTTCTCCGTTCCCTCACATCCTTCCTGCAAACAGAGATGAATGAGAGGAGGCCATAAAGAGAAAAAAAAAAACATCAACAAACTTCTTCAATGTTGGCCCTGTATGGCCCTACATAGCCCATGAGGGATGTGATGTTGAACCGCACCTTGATGAGAGCCTTTACAGCATCAATGTCCTTATCCTGCATCCTGCGCAGAACTACATCACCAAGGTCCAATCTGACCATTTTACCTGAGACAAATTAAAAATGAAAACATTTAATTAACATAAGGAAATTTGAACTCACTCAATTAGATATTTTAAATTAGAAAATGTAATTGCAAAAAAAAAAATTCATCTGAGGACATAACGTGATAGACTTGTGGTTTATGTCCGACTGCCTCATGAGCATATTATATTGCATTACATCTCAGACATTTATGAAAACAAAAAAACTTATGGCTTGTGTATGTCTTCCCGACTGAGCAGCTATTCAAGAAGCATTTAACAGGTTTATAGTAGCATGCCATGCTGTACCGTTAGCTTGCTCAGTCATCACGCTTTTTTAATCCCTTATATGGTAAACACCGCCTTCTAAAACTCAATCTATGGCTGTAATATAAAGAGCATGCGTGAACTACTTACCCAAATATTTAGAGACGCCGTGAGTGCTTTAAAAGCAAGTTAATGCACTCTTCTTTAATCGATGTTACTTGCCGTGTTTGAGGGATTTAAGGATTCAACGTTGTCTTCCTGCATGGAATGCAATTTCAACCAATCCTCATCCGGGAATACGACCCTGCGCAAAATGCGTAGTGGATACGCACGTAACGGTTTAATCTTTCGACGCAAGAACGCATGCGTCCGGTATGGATTTGACGCATTATTGTGTGGCGTTACACATGTGCGCGTTCAATCTATATTTTAAGAAAAAAGGTCATAAATATAATGGTCTTAAATATAGCAGAGCTTATCTCTGTCTGTAAAATAATGATTTGCTGCAATATCAAATGGAATGATTAACTTTATCCATGAAATCTTACCAAGTTTACCTACATATGAAGTCAAATGAATATATATTTAAACTGAGAAATAAGTTAAACAGCAAGCACAAATACTGTCATTCATACCTATTTTTATTGGTAATTGTCATCTAGTAGCAATATTAAGAATGAAAACAAACAGTAAACATATTTACAAAAGTTCACTTTGTACAGTCACTGTCAACATGACAGCATAACTGAATATAGCTCATATTTCATATTACTTTATAAATTCTCTTTTCAGTGCACCCTGGATGTAGAAGAGGACCAGGGATTTCCTTCATTTAGAAACCATTGTTTTTTGGCTGGGCTGTATTCGATAATTGTGGTTTGTGAAATAGCTCCCCGTAGGGGCCAGGTGAACAACTGTAACTACCAAGCAATATGCTTTATCCCGACAAAGTGCAGTCTCAGGGGTGGGGGGGACAACAGCTTAGGAAGAAGACACTGTGGTGTTCTAAGGATGTCTATGTGTGAAACAAACAGGTCTTTAATGATTTATGTAAGATTCAACATAGGTCCTGTGTTGGTCCTACAGCTACAACATTGTCGTCAGCTTCCTAATCTCTAAAACCATTGATCACAGTCCAAAAGGAACACTTTAGAATAACAGAGCAATTACTTGAAATTAATCCAGTTTGGATACGTGGTAAACAAATCTGCAATTTTGCATTTGAAACCGTGTCATGAGGTGTGAATTGTGTTAAAGCCAGTCAAATTGACTATTAGAGTTCTCCATACTTAACCTTAAGTTCCAATCAGTTCCATCTCTGATGATGATATGCTCTCAGACTCAGCGAGTTTAAACTATTCTGACATTACTTCCTCTCGTGCACCATTAGCATGCATGTCCTCAGTTCCTTCCGCTAAAGTATGTCCTACATCTGCTGCCTCTATTCCACCTTCTCTCAAACTGCTGGTGCTAACTTCAATTATAACAATGCCTTCTCCACCCTCTAACTGGAAGATTCCCTCCATTTGGCCAGAGTTTGCCCCAACAGCACCTTTAAAACTGGCCCTTGCTCCAGAACCACTGCCCTCGCCATCTATCAGTGCAATCATTTGAACACTGTCTCCTGGACCTGTGCTTCCATCTATTTTTGTCTCATCACCGAGCTCAAAAACCACATCCTGCCCTTCCAGAGGCACCAAGGCTTGACCCGGATGGCAAGAAAGGCTGAGATCCTCACCTGGGCCTCCTATGAAGCCCGAGCTTGGTTGAATGTCCTCCTCACTCTGAGGCTCTGTTTGGAAATGAAGCACAAAAGACTTTTCTACTTCAACACTTCCCTCAGCATCTGCAGCTCCATGCCCCTCACTCTGTCCGGTCCACTCTTGGAGTAAGTTAAGAGAGACCATTTCTGCCTTCTCTTTTCCTGCATCTCCTTCGCATTCTCCCTCTGTCTGAAACCGTAGGACATACGACTTCTCTCCTCCCTCACTATTCCCTCCCTCTTCTTGCTGGCCCTCACCTTCAATCTGCAAGACATAAGACTGCCCTGCATCATTCCCTCTCTCCATCCCATCCCCCTGTCCTCCATTCTCCATTTCTTTCTTTAGGCACAGAACAAAGTGCTCCCTTGAGATTTCTTTGACAGCTTTCTCTTCGACTGGAACACTCTCAAGATCCCTGGTCAACATGGGGGAATTGTTTGTTGACATGATCCTAACTGCAGGAACTGAAGAGCTTTCAGGTACTTGGCTAGTGCTGACAGGTGACACAGCTGGTGGATTGTCAGCAATAAGCTGTGGGAACTCTGTCTTTAAAGAAGCAGCAGAAGTGGCACTGGATATTGTGGTAGATGTGGAAGTTGCAGCTGATAACATTAACGGTTGCTTAACTGGTGTGGTCCGAACTGTAGGGGGGGATTTTTGGGTAGCAGCTTTAGGCTTCCGTCCATGCCTGGTTCCTCCCTTCCTGCTACGACCGAGGCTGCCTAAAATGGGACGAGCAATCGTCGATGTGCTTTGAGGCTGGGCAGTAATGAAGGGAGAATTATTATTCGTCAAAATAAATCTCTGCTGTGTCTGAACTGGTTGAAATTGCTGGATTTGTGTTTGGGGTGCTGCTAGAACTTGGGGCATTGCCGGAATGGTTTGCACCAAGGGGAGGGTCTGTGGATCTGAAGGGGTGGAAAGAGTGTTTGTACTGGATGCTGTAGGAACCAGGATAAGACTAGGCTGGTTTCCATTGCTGGACTGACACTGAAGAAGCAGGAAATTCTGTGGCTGTGGGGGTGGTGGTGGAGGAGGAGGGGCTGGCTGTGTTGGCGTGGGATTGGATAGTGGGATCAGTTGCAACCCTGAAGTCGTCTGGATCATAAAATAGTTCTGTGATGTGTTTGGAGGTATGTCCAGATTTGGGGGTGAAAGAATCAATGTGGAATTGCTATCAGTGGGAAACAATGAGGTAAGCCCTCCAGGTACATTCAAGTTTAAATTTAGCATTGCCGTCTCTGAAGCCCCACTACCTTTAGCCACCTTTCCTGCTTCCTTCGTACACGCTACTGCACCCCCAGAACTGTGAGTTCTCAAGTGCCTCTGCAGGTAGGAGAGCATGACAAACTCTTTTCCGCAGTGTTGGCACTTGAAGTCCTTGCGTGAGGAGTGTGTGCGTAGGTGCAGCTGCAGATTGGATGAGTGGGTGAAGCTCTTGTGGCACTGGGAGCACTGAAAGGGCCTTTCTCCAGAGTGTGTCCGTTCATGCTGTTTGAGGTTGGAGGTCTGAGAGAAAGCCTTACCACACACAGAGCAAGTGTGTGGACGTAGGCCAGAATGGAGCTGACTGTGGCGACGGAGACAGCTGGTGTTCTTGAAAGACTTTCCGCATTCCTGACATACATATGGCCGCTCACCGGTGTGCTGGCGAAGATGGTACTGGTAGTGTGAGCTCCACTTAAAGGTCAGTGGACAGTAGGGGCACTGAAAAGCCCGCACACCTGTGTGGACCTAGAAGGGTTGAGAACAGTTTTCAAGATGTTTTAATATTATCTTGTTTTACAGCAAATTTAGAAAACATTAAGGAAATATTAAAATTCAAAATATTAAAATTTTGTCATTCATAAACAAAGCTGCACTGGCCATTTTCCATTCACAAAAGCACAATAAAAGCATAATAAAATATTATGAGTGTAGTTGTTATGACTCATGTGCCACATAGCTTTGTACGAGATACAAACTGAAATACAAGTCACTGGTAAGCTTTCCTTTAGTGTGCTGTTAACTACTGCAGTTGGTGAGCTGAACTTCTGAACTGGATCAGCCCATGAATATTATTTAAAAAATATATAAAATACCATAAAAAATTTCTAAGATGAAATAATTAAGTTAATACATTACATCATTGATTTAATCGATTTAATAATGCAATGAATCAGTTTTATCATACTGCTCTTACGCAAAAACAAATCAAAATGTCAATTTGACAAGAAGCTGTGTTTACCCTTTGGTGTATGGAGAGCAGTGAGGACCTTTTGAAGCTCTTGCCACACTCTGTGCATCGATACGGTCTCTCCCCAGTGTGGTCTCTCATGTGGTACCTAAGTCCTGATGAACCTTTGAATGACTTCCCACATTCAGAGCAGCGATATGGCCTCTCTGTAGGGAATGAAGAGAGAAATACAGCCGTGAAGTGTATATGTGAGTTACATTGTGTGTGCAAAAGTCTCGTTTTAAATGGGTGTTTATTATACCATGTAAGGTAATGTAAGGTCTTCATATATCAAAAGCTTGACAATAAATAGCATAGTATAATAACACAGTATATTAAATAAGAACAATGAAACCTGACAATCAGAGATGCCAGATTTTGAATATAAACCAAACAAACTGTTTAGCATCCACTGCAGCACTCTTACCATTATTTGTGGCAGATGTCTTGCTACCTCCACCTCTCCTGGCTCCCTTTCCTGATGCTTTGGCAGATGGCTTCACAGCTCGTCTCTCTCCCTCCTCAGTAACAGCAATCAGACTGACATGGATCTCTCTCTCTCCATCTTCTCCCCCTCTCTTTAAGGAGGGCAGTGGCAGTGAGAGAGAGGGGCAGACAATCTCTGCTTCTGCCTCCGCCTCAGCAAGCAGCCTTTGCTCAGGAGTGTGGGAGTGCTGGTGGTTGAGCAGAGAGGAGAGCAGAGGGAAGGAGCGGTCACATGCCGAGCAGTTGAACTGAGAACGTGACTCAGATAGAGCAAGAGGATGGGCCTTGAAAAGAAAGAGATAATGAGAAACGGAGGTTTGTTTCTTAAAATTCTCCGTTCACCAGAAGAGTTTTTCGGTCTCACCTGAGCCACGTGTCTGGTCAGTCCGCTGCTGGTCTTGAAACTCTTCCCACAGTAGGCACATTCTGGTGTAGCTTGTGCAGTTAGCACACTGGTATCAGTGGGCATCTGGTTCACGGATGCAGCGAAGGCCTGCAGAAGATCATACTGTGCCTGCCTCGACTCATTTCTAACGGCATCCAGACTAAGTAACTCTGAAGTCTGCCCACTATCTGCAATTGTGGTGGTTTCAACAACTTCTTCAAAGTCTGCCAACATTGGTGTAGCCCCCACCAGTGATACTCCACCTCCCTCAGCCTCTGTGCTATTTTCTGTAGCAGCCCCTCCACCACCTGCTGGGCCAAGGCTATCTAGATGTAGAGTCTGATGCTCCTCAAGGTGACTCGGTGTTGAAAATGTCTCATTACAGCTGCCACAACTAAATAGCAAAACACTAGCCCCTATGTCGTTCTTGCTCATGTGGATATGCTCT